AGTAAAATATGTTTCTCTTCGAAAAATAACCGGGAAAGATAGATGGCCCTTTGTTGTAAACAAGGGCTGCCATCTAGTGGCGCAAATAAAAATGAAACACTTGGGTAGCTCAAGGAGCTAAATATACCATGGTATAATATAATTATGTATAATATATATGTAGCTCCTTGGGGTAGCTCAAGGAGCTATATATACCATGGTATAATATAATTATGTATAATATATATGTAGCTCCTTGGGGTAGCTGTTGTAAGAAAAATCCCAAGTATATGCGACTGATATGTCGTGATTAGAAATGTAATTTCTGTAATATAGTACACCGCCGAGTGTATGATTAAATTCAATCGCCATATTACATTTGGCGTTGCAGCATCGCGCCACGATTCCCAGCTATGCAAATATACATGAAAATGCATGGCGCTCCGACGTCGGTCGCCTCTGATTGCCAAGATAATGTTTTTCGTCGGCCGTTCAAACCGTAGCCGGCAAGCCTGACACAGCAACGTGTGCTTGGTAAATATCCGGTCTATAAATATTCACCATTTTCTGCGGCAGGCATCACGCCTGGGTTCCCCGCTTATGACCGATATGTGCGTGCAGATGGCACGTCGTTGCGTCGGGCACCGTTGACCTACCAGAGAATTTTCTTCGGCGCGTTCTTATTACGTTCAAGCTAGTCGGGGCGGGCATGATGGCACGTGTGCATCGTAAAATCTGATCTACATGCTTCACGTTGGCTCGCGCAGCATCACGCACGATTCATAGCTTATGGGCGAATATACTGGAAAATGGGATTCGCGCACGTCGGTGCCGATTGAAACTCAAGATAATGTTCTTTCGCGCCGTTTTATTTATGCTTTAAACGCGGAGGCCGGGTAGGGCTGATCAGCAGCGTGTGCTTGGTAATATCCGGATCTATATATTCACTTTGGCTCGCAGCATCACGGCCTGTGGTTCGCCGACCGCTGTGCCGATTATTGAATTAATGTGCGTGGGCAGATGGCCGCTGTGCGTCGCGTCAGCCGTTGACTGCAAAGAGAAATTTGCTTCGCCGTCTCATAGCGTTCAAACTAGTCGCCGGGCGGCGCCGAGGGCAGCGTGTGCATGGTAAACCATCTGATCTACATGCTCAGCTTTGGTTTGCAGCATCGGCGGCCAACTCGATTTCCAGCTATGGCGAAATTATAATGAAATGGTGCTCCCGACGTCGGTCGCCGTGACTGCCAAGAATAATGTTCTACGAGCCGTTCTTATTACGTTTCAAACCGAAGCCGGAGGCTGACAGGCACGTGTGCTTGGTAAAATCGCGGTCTACTAATATTCACTTTCTCGCAGCATCACACCCTGCATGGGTTCGCGCGCGCTATGCCGATTAATAATGTGGCGTGGCGATGACGCTTCGTGGCGTCGATCACCGTTGACTGCAAGAGAATTTTCTTACGGGCCGAGTTCTCATACGTTTAAAGCTCGTCGGCGGGCGGCGCCGACGGCACGTGTGCATTGTCTAACTCTGATATACGTGCTTCACTTTGCTCGGGCAGGCAATGCCATCGATTCCCAGCTATGCTAATAATAAATGAAAATGGCGCAAGGAACCTCGTCGCCCGTTGAGTTGGCAAAAAAAAATTTTCGGCCAGAATCATACATTCATCTGGAGCCAGACCTTTGCTTTGAGGCAATCGGGCCACGATTCCCGGCCTTATATGCTAATGTACATAAAAATTAGGCGTACGGACGTCGGTCGCGCGTTGATCTGGCAAGATATTTGTCTTAATTCGGCCGATCTATACGTTCAAACTAGTCGCGGGCCGGGCCGAGCGGCACATATGGCAATGGTAAAATCTGGATCTATATCCACCTTTGGCACGCAGCATGCACGCCTGTGGTTCCCACCTATGCTAATGTCCAGAAAATGACGCGCGGACGTCGTCGGGCGGCGTTTGACTGCCAAGAAAATACTTCATACTGCACGATCAAACATAATTAGAGTACATTTTCTCTCAAGGAAACAATTCAAGCGCTTGAATATGAACACGACAGAACAGAAAAGAAAAAAATCAAACAACGTTAAAATCATATAGGATCATTGGGGCTAATATATTGAAGCGTACTGCTACAAGAATAGTGACTTAAATCTCGCATTTGGCTAATATTGTACTGACCGTCCCCGCTGGATATTCTGATGATATTATCATAGGTTTCTAGATTAGTTGAAATAACTAGGTTTTGACACTTTAAATCTCATAAATTAAGCACAGTGGTAAATGTTGTAATCGCAAAATGTGGGCGCGGCCACGGCGCACGCCTGCGATTTTATGATATTTTTTGAAGGCTAACACTTTTTGGCAATTATCTCTGCACGGATGGCTGCGGCAG